GTCATCCTCCATAAAAGGAGACATTTTACAATAATTGTCATCATTTACATGGCCTAAAAATAGTAAATGTTGCCATTAAAGATCATGGATAAAGTTAAAGTTGAAGCTGGATATGTGCTTGGGTTAAAGAATGGGAGTTAGCAGCCTGTTAGACTGGAGACCAGAGGGTTATACCAGCTATTAGGGACCATGTTTATTTACCGAGTACCACAGAAACTAAACTAGTGGGATTTTAGTGATGGGATACAGCCAGACTGTGTGTGGTTACACAATGACAGAGTCTAAAACAAATGACAGGACATAAAGGGTACATTGATGGTGCCGTTGCTCTCAGCCCCATGCAGGGGTTTTATGTGTCCCTGAGAGTGGGGAGAGATTGGCCCTGAAGTGGCCAGAGCACCAAATGGGGTTTGTGGTTGCAGAGGCAGTAAAATCCATTATCTGTATTACTGCTTGCCTTTAATTGAGTCATGTACCATTTAAGTCCATGTAATTATTTGACCTGCTGGTAGCAATTAAAATCAGAGAGAGAATCTGTACCTGGAATTCTGCTAGAGCTTTAGTATTGAGGGGGGGAAAAAAGCACAGAACTCAATATAAAAAGAAAATCAACTATACACATTTCATTCAGCTTTTCACCACAGGATAAAAAGATCACATCACCCAAATTACAAAAAATTTAAATATTTCCTCTCTTACCTTCCATTCTGACAGATAGTTTGAGTTTCATTTGTCCAGGTTTTGAGGTATCTTTGTCTAAGATATCTGCTTCCACACAGGTAAATGAATGGATTCTTATTTCTTTTTTTTTTTTTTTAGAAATTCACTCTGCATAATTCAACTCTTTTAATTAAGGTGAAGGTTCTATAGCCTTTTACTAATATAAATTTGGTACGGATTCTCTTTATTGAACCCTCCTCAAATCTAGCTTTCAGTATTCACAAGTAACTAAATGTATGAATAACATAAGTTAAGTATGTTTAATTTAATTTTGGCCTTTCGTCAAGTCAGATGGGCAAAAAAAAATATGTTTATATAAGCTCACAGGTACGGACACAGGGAAAAACAGGATTGTGCAGGCTATTATCTTAATCAGCTAGTATTATCAAGCCTAATCAGCCAGCAGGGATTTTTCGGTGAAAGCTGGCCAAGGAAAACAGCCCAACTACAACACAAGGTACGAGGCATGTAATTATGGAGAGAGTATATGTCTCAATATTTTCGTATTAATGCAAACATATACCGGCAAGTGCCACGGCATATAATTGTGCAAGCGCAAGATCAGAATTCCGTGACTTGTAAATTATTAGGTATTTTGCATGCAAAGATGTATATGAATTTTTAATTCAAATAGATGTTTGGAAACTTTAGCAAGAATTAATTAATCATACCAATTTGTCAAAAAAATTAGTGAGTAATCTGAACTAGTCTCCGCATGTGCATACTG